TTCAGCAGAATTAACGTGAACTCTGCAAGTTTAAACCTGCCTGCAGGTAAAAAGTGGGGACAACCCATAGTGTTACAAAAAATCGGGTTAAAATGTACTCTGAGAGCTTCTCTTTCATTTTCCCACACCCACAGCTGCAACTTCATTCCTGGGTTCAAAAACTTACACCACCCCCTCTTTACACCGAGCAAATTTGGAATGCTGCAATATCCAACCTTTTGCTCACGTCTCACAGCTGATATTTAAAGTTCTTGTGATGAGCATTTTGCTCCTTGCTGTGCATGGCTGATGAATACCAGCCTTTCTGATTCAGCAGATTGGGCCCTTCTAATGGGGTGTTGAAACAGGGCATCAGAGATCCCAGATAGAAAGCCAGATAGAACATTCCAGAACTGATTGGCTCCTCTAACAGGAAGAATACAGGGAATCTTAGTTTGAAATCAGTGTTTCCTGTGGAATAGGTTTTTAAATATATATTATTTATTTGGTTTGGTGTTGGTTTGTTTTTTTTTCCTCATGGTGTGTGTAGCCACCCACTGCAACAAATATTAAAAAATAAATCCTTTGTCAGCTTCCTGAAGAGCCACAACCTGGTAAATCCACTGCTATTGCAACAGGTCAAGGTGTTTTATTAGGCTGTTTCATCATTTCAGAAAAACAGAAGAAGGTTAGAGAAATACTTGGAACATCTGGCATGAGGGTGCAATTTTCCAGTAAATCAGTGGGAGTGGAATAAATAATTTCTGAGAAGAGCTACCCTTTAAAACACTGTCTCAATGGTCAGAGCTGCTCCTTCCCACATTGCATGTCACTGTACATTCAGTCCATATAAGAGAATAAAATAGACACTGTAATTAATCTTTATTGAATCTGGGTTTATATCCTTCTTCAGGCACCCACTCCTGGACACTGGACTGGCTGGAATATTGCTCTGATGGCCTCTCTTATGCCCCCTCATGCCTATTTGTTGTTTTAGATGCCCCCCAGACCAGTAATTGAAGCTCTAACCAGTCTGTGACACTCACACAACAGGTTGTAAATGGGTAGAGAGACCCACGTAAGCAATTCCCAGTTCCACACAGACTGGTAGCCAGCTGCTCACAAAAATGGAATTATGAGTCACAGTGAAAATTAAGGCCATGCAGATCTCTGGGTGCAGCAATTCTTGCAGAGTATACAGGCTTCATTTGCATAATTAGCTTGTTCTTGCTCAATGGTCTCCGAGTGGGGCTGGGATAAGCCCTGTGTGGATCAGCACAGCATCGCTTTTGGCACAAGAATTGTGCAGTGATAAATAGGTAATTTTAAGCTTTGTGTTGGACATGAGACACCTAAACCAAAGAAGGGTAAAGTTGCTGTGCTCAACAGGCACTCCTCATATGTTTTTAAGGCAATTGTTGATGCTCTTATTCTCCTGTCAAGTTTGATCCACAGCAGCAAATGGGTGAAAGCACCCAAAAATCAGCAGTCACCATCCAGGGATGGCTTCCACAGGAAATGAGGCTTATAAAGGAAATCTAATATTAATTCACACTGGAGCCATGCTGGAGATTTTGGATCTTCTGTTAGATTTCTTAGGCTTTATATGCCATTAAAAAACCAAAAGGCAAGAAATGATGCTTTAAAGAATTACCCTGGTATTTATTTCACTAATACACATAGGCTGAATTTCTTCTAACCCGTCAGAGGTCAGAAAAACAGCCCCCTTGTGTCAACACCTTCAGTCAATAAACTTGATTAATTGGCACAAAAAGATAGTGTGGATCACTGAGCATGTTTCCAGCAGAATGGAATAACCAAAACCTCAAACAGAAGCAGGTTTGCTTCTAAGAATAACCACCCAGCTGATAAAATATAAGTATGACTTGAGTGGTCAATATATTTAAGGATGGGACAGTGAACAGGGAGAGTTCTAGATCCCCTAGGAACCTCAACCCAAAAAGATGTATTTTCACATTATGTATATGTTTTTTATTGTCACTTCCAAGAAGGAATGTAGGTTCATTAGAGGAGAAGGAAATTTTTCAAATCATATATCACTAGATTCAGTTCAGTGACCAGGCAAATCAATAAAGATTAATTTTACTTAATTCTCTTTTTTTCCATATGTAACCTCTCCCAGAAGAGGATATGAGAAAGATGCATTTATATCTTAATGAGAAGATAGAAATACCCTTGAGGGATCAAGGATTCAGATGAGGAACACCCTCACAACTCATCCAGACTCCAATTTGTACGTGCAGAGGCTTAACTTGTACCGACTGCACCAGTGTAACAGAACTCACCCCATACCATGACAGATGGTTCCAACAGCTCTTACAACAGCATCATAAAAGTTACCACTTCACATTGCACAAGTTTCTCTAGGCTGTCCAGTAATCCCTGCTTCTCACTCTGAGTTTATCCTCGACTTCTGCACACAGCTGTTTACCCTCCAGTATTCGAGGCATGCTGTTTAATTCCAGTGGGCAATAATGGGAGCAAGGAGCAGGGACTGGATGGCATCGATGGTGATTTTAAATTACGACCTGAGACCCATCAAGTCCCCTGGGAGCAGTTCCTCAAAAATGACACCAAACCCAAACATCGGAACAACTGACTCAGTTGCTTTTTAGTCCCTCATGGAGTTTGATCAAGGGCAGGCTCAGCAGAACAACTTCAGGGCCCAGGCTGCCCAGGATGGCACCTTGGGGATCATCATCTCTTTAATTACAAAGGTGGAAATTTGTGCTGTGATTATCAGTTGTTGTTGAACCTGAGATGTAGAAATCACGTCAAATGGGGCTCAAGTCCCTGCTCAAAGTGTTCTGAGAACCAGACAAGAAATGCCATAAATAAGAGGCCGCTTCTGCCAGTTTTGAGTTCTTTGCTGTGCTGTTGTCCACATTCTAAGGAGAGGGGAATGTGCCACCAGCCCATCCCTGGGGGAGAGGTGGGCATTATGGTTTGAACCACTTCTGCTTGGCAGAGAGTCAGACCAAGGTAGTTATACTGCCACAACAACCCTACAACCACCCCTTATGGAAGAAGTCGAGGATCACCTCTTCCAGCTCCATTTTAGAAGGAAAACAGCTACAAATATCCTCTGAAAAGCACTTTCCTGCCTGGATGCCAAGTGGGACTCTGGGGATATGGCAGGCAGGAAAACCAAACACACCCCACCCTCAGGTGGGTGATAAGATAAAAATTGCTCAGGCAGAGGCAGCTCTGTACATGCAGAGGAGCCCAGCTCAGCATTTTCAGGGCTTTACAGTACCAGCAGAACACACCTACTGTGGGCAACACCTGAAGGAAAGTTTAGGTGGTAAGATGGAAAATCTGACCTGTATTGTCAGAGTTCAGTGTAGATAATGCTTTTATTTCTGGTTGAGTGTGCCTTTATTGGTATACATTATATATATAATGTATATACACATAAATTACGTCTATAATATATATCTTATACCTATATGTGCAAATATATCTCTATATAGGTATATGTATGTATATGTATACATATATGTATATTATATATAATATTATTATACACATATATAATAACATACATTATATAGTATGTACATTTATATAAATATGCATACATATGCATATATTATTATAGGTACATTAATATATAATATATAAACATTATATATAATGTATATCTAATAATAAATATGTATGATATATGTGTATATTTTATAGGTATCATATATAATATACATATTTAACATTTATATCTCTAACACATATTTATGACATTAAAAATGTGTAATATTTTTCTATATGTATGATCTGTATTTAATGTATATATGGCAATGCACTTTTCTGAGCCTTTGACACAGAGCAGCCTGCTGAGCCAATTGGAGACAAGAACATTTTAATTAAAATAAGGCTGAAAAAAGACAAACTCAATAAATAATGACACTCAAACGAGTAGAATTCCAATTAAATGCAACAAATCACCAGATTTGTGAGAGTCACACCAGAAAGAACCAGTTTGCATCAGTCTTATACTGGTTTCAGTGGGACTCAGGATATAATGAGCAGAGCTTTCAAGTCTCACTGGTAAAAATAATGTAGGAATCCTTAATATTTATACTGCCTCCAGCAAGACATCAGTTTAAAACTATCTTCATGTACTGCCAGCCAGAGCATGCAACAAAATCCCTGCAGTCATGTTAAGACAGTCTTGTCCCTTAAATATTTATAAAACGTTTCTACTGTTGCAAATAATTGTGGGTATCACCATTCTAACTAGCCTTGGATTTGAGAACACAGAGTTGGTGTAGGCACTAGTTAGCAGAGGTTTCCAAATTACATTTTGGGTTTTTTAATAACTGCTTTTTTAAACAGGAGCATTCTCAAATGCATGTCAGCTATTATTATGAGATAACCAGAACAGTGTTATCAGTACCTGCTCCTACACCAAAAAAAAAAAGAAAAAAAAAGAAAAAGAAACTGAGGTGTTCTTAAGAAAACAAAGGCAAAAATAAAAGTCCAAACTCCTGCTTTGTGGCAGGGGGGCTTGATCTTGTTACCTAGAGGAGGCTGTTGGTGCCTGTAGCTTGTAACACATGAGCTGCTGCTCAGTTGTTCATGGTGGAATCTCACTTTAAGATCTTCCACATCTTCCTCCTGTGGGTGGTTTGTCCCCTGAAAGCTCTGGGTGTGAATGGCAGAGGAGAAGAACCACATGGTCTTTGTTTTTCTGGGCAAATTGTCTGTTTATCTGCCACTGCAGACTCACCTTCGTGGGTTTTGGCCAGTCAGGTGGACACAGCACCACGCAGGTTCTGCCAGTGTGGCTCAGTTGTCTCCTAATGGAATATCTTTGCTGTACACAGATGTTGGGAAATATCATTGAATCAGAATTCCTTTGCAAAATCAGCAAGATTAATCAGAGGTCACACGCTCCTTTTAAAACAGGGACTGATTTCAATTTAAAAATCATTAAGAAGAACTTTATTCATAATTATAATTTCTTACAATTTCTCCTTTTTCTTATTTTTAGCTTTTCTATTTTAGCTTTTCCAAACAACCAGCTTTTTTTGCCCTACATTTTTCCCTTCTGTGAAATTATAACCACACATCAGCTTGTTCTTTCATACATCCTCTATTTTACTATCTGTTAGTCAACATTCATCTCTCCTCCTTGACATTTTACCTTTCCCATACAATTTAAAGCACTCTCAGTGAAAATATTCAACTGTAGGCCCACTTCTTTCTTTTATTTTCTCTCTCAAAACCCAGCTGTGTTCTTGGAGAGCCTCTACACAGATGGGCATCACACTTTTAAGCAGCTGAAGCTGTCCTTGACCATAACCACACCTCCTCAGAATCACCAAGAAATGACCATTTAGATAAAATTTAATACGTATAAAACTCAATAAAAGCAAGAGTGCCCTAAACACCCTTGAAATGTGGACCTGCTCCTCAGTGCTCAGGCTTGTTCTCAGTCTTATTCAAAGCTGGTGTACATCAGAAAGCCAATCAGACAGCACAGTCAGCACTCAATTAAAATATGTACATGTATTTATGCCTATCAATAACACACGCTATACAAACTGGATTCAAACTGCCTATTACAGGTGTAAACCAGCAACTCATTATCTCCCTTCCCATGCAATCCAGGAACAGAACCAGTTATAACACCCAAGTAGTCAGATCAAGTAGTTTACATGTGATCAGCAGCAATGGGGACACACCTCAGGCCATCTTGTTCTATTCAAAAACATCCCTCAGAGATTCCCCCTGCTCCAATATCTCCTGACGTCCTGCAGTTTGCTTGGTGCTATCCCAAAGGCACTAAGGAGACCTTAATACTGAAAGAGGCTTGTAAGAAAGATGGGGAGAGAGTTTTAACCAGGACTTGTAGTGACAGGACAAGGGACACCGGTTTTAAACTGGCAGAGGGCAGGTTTACATTGGATATTAGGGAGAAATCCTTCCCTGTGGGGTGGGGAGGTGCTGGCACAGGTGTCCCAGACAGCTGTGGCTGCCCCATCCCTGGAGGTGTTCCAGGCCAGGCTGGGATGGGGCTCTGAGCAACCTGGGCTAGTGGAAGGTGTCCCTGCCCATGGCAGGGGGTGGAACAAGATGATCTTTAGGGTCTCTTCCAGTCCAAACCATTCCGTGGTTCTCTGAACATTATAAAGAGTTTCATTCCAAACTTCTTCCACAAGCAGTGAGCTGGCGCCTCCAGTGAAGTTAAACTCATCAAGTTGATTCAAATTCTCCCCAGTTTAAAAGCCCATCTCCCAATTCTGAGATTGAGAGCAGAAGAAATAGAGGTTCATGGTTGAGATCAAGAAAAAAAAAAAACAGTCTCTTTAAGCCACTTTCCCAGTTGATTCCTACTGAAATTAACTTTGCCCAGCTCCTGAGCTTCTGTGCCTGAAGACACACACGTGGATGGTCTGTGCTGAGCCCTGGCAGCAGCTGGGTGGTGAAGAGCTTCCCTCTGAGAGTTGCCAGTTTTTACCCATGCAGATATGCTTCAAGCCAGTGCTCCCCAGAATTCTTCAGGGAACTGCAGAAACAGAAGTTAAAAAAATTGTTTATGAAGAGACTATTCAGTTTTCTGGGAAGTTAAAGGAATAAATTGAAAAGATGGATTTTAGAGTGCGTGGATATCTCACAGCAAAATCTGACTACTGGGAATGAGTTGAGAGGATTTAAGAAAGAGGGGGAAAAAAATCTTTCAAATTGCCTGTAGAAAAATCTGATTAAACTCAGGTTTGACCATGGACACTGATTTGAAATGGCTGCCTGTATCCCCCCCTTACATGACAGGACAGCGCAAAACTATCTTGTTGATTGATACTTACTGCAAAATATCTACAAAGGCTGTCAGTAAAGTCTTGCTTTTATATTCAATGCCATGCTTCTCACAAAGGCTTTTCACCAAGGGAGCCACTTTCCAGTAGTTGTGTCGAGGCATGGTGGGGAAGAGGCTGCACAATGGGATGAGACAGGGTTATTGTAAGGCTTGGCCTGCACTGCTCTCTGTCCTCCCCGATCAAAATATTCCCCCAAAATATCTCCCCCAGAAGGGGAACAAAAGGTTTCCTGAGATGGCTCATTCCTGGAAACAAAGAACAGTTTGGGTGGAGAGAGACCTTAAATATCCCCCGATTCCACCGGATCCTTTAAGGTCCCTTCCAACCCAAACCACTGTAGGATTCCACAGTTCTAAGTGCCCCACATCACTGCCACTCTTATGCCCAAAATTATACTCACTGGTGCTCTATTTGGAAGTTCAGGTGTCCAGTGAACCAATCATTGAACAAAGATTGCTTCACATTGCAGGTTGCGTGGAGCTGGGAGGGAAAAAGACCCCAAAAATACACGATTTAGGTTTTGTTTTCCCACAAGTCTGATGTTTGAGCCCCAGCAACCATTGCCCACCCTCATCTTGCATAAAGGAAAAGTCAGGGATTACAGCCATCATTGCCCTGAGGAAATAAATAAAGTCTAGACTAGCCAGGCTCTCTTTTTCCCTTAATAAAGGGGAAAATGCTTAGAACACACTATGTGGTATTATGTTGCTAGAGGCATTATATATGTGAATAAAGTTGTATTTGCATATTTATTTTTATCAGATTTTATCAAATTTTGTCAGATTTCTCTTATCTGCAATAGACCTGCACCCTGTAGGGTAAAAATAAAGGCATTCAATCCCACTTGGCTTCCTTTAGTTGGTCTAAAAGGGAGATTGACTGTTTCACTATCAGCACTTTTCTGTGACAGAAAGGAAAAAATGCTGTAAAAAATATATCAACACCTTTCAGTCAAAACCCAGGATTTTTTTTAATCTAGATGTCTTGTTGTTTTTCCCACTGAGGTTTTAAAAGGTTTGATTATTACAGCAAGGATATTGTCTTTGTCCTGTAATTCAGAAGTGCAGACCCAGCATTCCAGAAGAAAGGAGCTTCTCACCTGAGTAGACACCCAGTCCTCGTTCTGGTCATACTGGATGTCCATGGGGATGTGGTTCATCTGTGTCACCCAAACAAACCAGGTGCTCTCAAAGTACCTGGGCAGGTAAACAGAGAAGCACTTGTTACATCTCTAATCCCATCCAAATTTACCATTAAAACACACATTGCTGCCTCTCTTAATCTTTTATGCAATTCAGGATTTGCTGTTCCTAACTTTTAGAGTGTAAAAACCAATTAATTTGCAGTTGAAGATGTCCCTGAGCAGCGACCACCACCCTGAAGTTAAACTGTTCCTTCTTGACTATTTATCGCTGAGAAAACTGTAGGGACTGGGACTAATTTTAATTTATTTCAGTACTGATTACAAATATTAGTCCTGAGGACTCCAGATGTCCTGTGTGTTACCTGGACAGCCAATAGTAAATCATGAAGTTCTTAAATCCCATTAAAGGAACATACATGAGGCAAACTCGGATGTTGAAAAACACAATCAATATCAGGTCCTGAAAAAAAGAAAAAACCAAACAAACCAAGGTGAAAATCTGCCTTTGTTATTGAAATCCTTCCACTCTGTCCTCTCCCCTTTACTTGAACTGCAGCTAAAAACTGTTCTGATATATGGATTTTGTATTGGTTTATCAAGAGGAAGCTCCACACCACCATTCTGCAGCAAGTTGAGTGTATCCCTAAAATATTCCCACAACACTCACTTAATAAATGCCGACAACAGCTCTGTCATCACACTCTGTCTAGGCCTGAGTTTTCTCTTAACTTTTATTTATCTGCTAAAAAGGCTAAAAAGCCTTTTCTAAACAATTCTCCTGAGTTGCAGCGAGCCCAGAATCAGCCTTTCTGATCTGAAACTCCCCAAACAGAGGTAAATATTAATATAGTGACATTATTTGGGTTTTCCAGATGCTGAAGCTGTGCTTACCAGCCACTTTTTCCTCTTGATTGCAAAGTGGAATATGGTCAGCTGGAAGAAGGGGATGATTGCAATTGGGGCCAGCACTGAAGGAAAGAATGAAAAGAGAGAGGCATTTATAATTTCACTGCATCACAGCTCTTACAGAATGGTCTTCTGTGAGAACAGTGATTCTTCTTTCCAGTGGAAGAAAAATTGCTCTCTTCCATTTATACCAACTTTCATGCATTCACCTAATCTCTTCCCCTTTTTTTCTCATCACTTCTTCATTTCTTTCCCATCCCTTTCTTCCCTCTACTTGATCCACCCCCCTCTGGTACTTCCATCACATAACCCTGACATAGGGGGATTCCTCCTCAAGTGGACCTTCTTGAACATGAAGGAAGCTCTCTGGAGCTGTCACTTCAATCTTTAAAACACCTGTATTTTGGAGAGGAGATGCCCTCCTGATTTGGGGATACTCACAGAAGAAATACTTATGCTGGTAATTGTAAGGCATGAACTTCTTCTTCTTCTTTCCAAGCTGAAAAATGAAAAGATATTGTAATTGGCCAGTGAAAGACTACACAGAAACGCTCCAAAAAAGGCTTACAGGTAATCTGGATTTTGTAGGAGTGCTGAGGCTGTTGGTGCTTGGAGAGGAACAGGTTGTTAACATGGAAACTGAGTCACTAAGTTGGTGGGTTCCAACTTTGGAGATTGGCACTAGCTGACCTTTAAGGTGCTTTCCATCCTAAACCATTCTAGGATTCTATGAATGCAGGATGTGTCTGCTGTGGAAGCTACATCTGAACTTCTGTATCCCAAATTTCTGAATAACAGAGGAGAGGGTGGTCAGATATGACATAGTTTGGAAGCTGTCCTATAATGTCTGTAAAATTATTTCTGCAAGATCAAGGTACTGAATGCTCTATAAAGAAATCTGCCTTCTTGTTTTGTTGAATACTTTGTCTTCAATTACAGAAAGATTTACAAAAAGCACAATTCAGTTTATTTCTTTGCAGTGTATTTTTTCGTTGTTTGCACTAAAGGATTCTTAACATCATCTGAAATTTTTATGCTTATAATTGTTCAAAAGACAAAATAACAGAGAAGGAAAGCAAATTGCATCCAGAGCTCCCCTATTACTAAGACAAAACTTTAACACCTCAAAGACGTCTTCCCTGGATCAAAACTGAAACAACAAAGGAAGCAGACAAACAAAACCCCTGAAATCCATTTTGCCTGGCCACAGTGTGTGGTATTTTGTAATTCTCATTACAGAAGCCTTTCTGAGACAGCAGAGCTGGAATTTTCCATGTGCCTTGGAGAGCTGAAGTTTCTTTGCTTATTACCAGCGAAAGGAGAGAAAGAGGCTTTATTATAAGAAGCTGATTAACTTGCAATGAAGTAATTTCATCACCCTCTGAGTAAATAGAATTAGCAGGAAAAGAAAAGGAAAATGAGACCTTGGTGATATCAGAAATCATAATGGTGCAGGGAGGATCTATTCCTAGTTTTTCTTTTTATGAGAGCTATAAAATTTCAGATTAAGAAATCGTCTGTGCTTGTGTTTGGTGCACATACTGGTCCTGAAGGATTGAGGTGCCAAACAGCCAGAAGGACCCAGAGGGAACATCTGACTCACTAATAACCAACTAATAACATCTAACACTAATGCAAGTGCACTGACTCACCCTCTGAGCTGCCTCCAAGGTGCTCACCCTTCCTTAAGCACTGATTGCAAGAGCTGGCTTCTCAGGAGCTGGTGCCTCAGCATTGTAATAACCAGGCAGTACAGGAGACTCTCAGACCCTGGAACACTTTGGGGATTACCACAGAATCCTGAATGGCTTGTGTTGGAAGGGACCTTAAAGATCACCTACTTCCAAGGCACAACCTGGATGATTACTATTATTATTATTATTATCATCCCTCCCTCCATAGATTTCTGCCATTAAATCTGCTTTTCCAAACATCCCCACGCTCACCTCCACAGAAAGTGTCTTTCCCAGGCTGAAGAGCAGGGGGTGCATGTTGAGGTCGGGGTCCTTACGGAAGCAGTTGGGCTTGGCGTGGTGCTGGTTGTGCAGGTGGTTCCACCAGCTGGCAGGTAACCCCTGGAGAAAGGGAGCACCAGGGACTCAAACCCGAGCCATACCAACGATCACACTGCTCTCTATCCACCTCTTACTGACAGCTTGCACTGCAATTCCCTCCTAGCTGATCCTGCCTGGATAGAGGGACCCTTCCATGCACTGCTCTGCCCCCATCAGCCCCAGAGAATATTCCCACCGTGAGGGAAATACCTTCAGGACGTTTATCACCACGACCTGCAGCAGCCGATTCCACCGGGGATTCCTGAAGACAGAGCAGTGCCCCAGATCGTGCTGGAACCAGCCCATCTGGATCTGCAAGACAAAAGGATCAATGAAGAAACAGAATCTTGGCAGCACTGCAAACATTTCCCTTGTAATGATAATTTGCCTCCATAACATCGTAGTGTGATGCATCTTCCTTCTGCTTTGGGAAAAAAACACTCCCTGATGTCTTCCGTGCTCAGTGATGAGAACTCCCAACCAAGCCACTGTCCACTAAAGCTGCTCAATTCCAGGTCCTGACTTTATCTGGAATGTAGGGAAAGCAGCAAAGCATCCCAACAATTAACTGTTACAGCATAGAAGTCTGTTTGCTCCCATCACAAATCATGGATTTCCAAGTAACCAGCTAGAAAGTGGAAGAATTTCCAAGTCCACAGCTTTATTGCATTCCATATTCCCATGGAAATACAAGAGTGCTCTTTGAGGAATATCCATCCTAGCAGATATTAGGCAAGTAGAACAGATCATTTAAATGAGTTCATTTGCATTTGTTTCATGGATGTCTGAGCAAGTGTAAGCTTTCAGCTCTACTAAGAAAATCTTTCTTCTTCCCCTCACCCTCCAGTTTATCCCATCTAAGGGCCACAAAGTCCTATTCCCTCCTTTCCTGCACGGATCCTGCCCTTCTATGGTTGAATTTACTAATCCAGTCAGAAAACTCTTCAGGGTTAGTGAGGGAAATTGGCTTATAAAGGACCAAAACAAACATCAGAGAGAGGGAACAGGGAGCCAAAAGTGCAGCTGAGAATGAAATATTCCCTCTTTTGTGATTAGATCAGCTCATGCCATCTTGTGAAACAGCCAGTTCCACAACACCCCACCAACTCTTGGGCTGTCAGCAAAACCAGGTTTGCTGGAGGCAACAGAAATTGTGACGTAGAACATGCTTGGCATCTTCGGGCAGGTAACAGGACCCGAGGAGAGGCAGTGGAGCGATGCCCGGGGTGTGAACATTCCATGAATCCTCTCCATCTGCAGGAACCAAACACGTCTGCAGCGCTGAGCAGCTGGCAGCACTTTACCTGAGCCACAGTGAAGAACACCATGCCAGTCAGGAAAGGCACCAGGGAGATGCCAAAGTACCAGACCACGAGCCAGGATGCAGCATCCAGTACCAGGAGGTGAAGGAAAACCAGGAAGAAGAAGAGGTAGTTTGGCCTCAGAAGTCCCATCTTCTCAACCGTGCAGCGCAGCTCACGGAAATCCTCCAGGAGGGATTTCTGAGGGTAAAGTTAAAATTAAGGCAGTGTTTACTTTGAAAATGTAACACAGCAGACTTGGAAACCCCAAAGCAGCCACGGGAGTCAGAGGAGATATTCTGTCAGAGGGGACTCAGAGCAAAAGCAGGCGTGAGATCAACGGGTCCTGCTTCTGCTTTGATACTGAGACATCAGAGTATCAGAACTGAGCAGAACCTGGGGCTGTGGAGCTCATTCCTTGCACCCCGGGGTGGATTTAGTGATCCTGGGATGGTCATGTTTCCATGCCTGACTAGCACAGCTGCATCCCCACCCCCCAGCCCATGGCACGGCATCTCCTTCAGAGAGCAGTCCTGCTCCCTCTCTTATTTTCCTTCTCCTCCCAGGCTGAACCCCGAGCTGTTCCCAGCGCTGGAATCTGGGACACTCACCTTTTTATTGGACTCAAAGCTGGGTTGATCTGGTGCCAGCTCCCCAATCAGCAGAGATCTCAAGTACTTTTTCACCAGGGACTTATCGTTGTGAAAAGCTACAAAGGCATCCTGAGAAACACAAAGGGAGGGAGTGAGAAAGGGCAGGGGACTAAATGCCAGATGCTGAGCCTCTCCTTCCCTCAAGCCTTTGATATAACATGTAATCCACTTCCCCTTGTCCAGAACCCTTTGGGTTCCTCCTGCTGCTCTTTGCCATCGACTGGAGCTCGGCCCAAGGACGCTGGAGAAGTTTCAAGAAAGCAGATTTCATAAAAGTCCCTGGGCGAGGCTGGTAATGAACATGAAAGGGTTTGACGAAAAACTCTTTGCAGAGGCAAACAGGTTCTCTCATCTGCTTGTTTCAGCACAGTCTGCCCCTAGAAGGCTCCAGCCAGCAGCCCTTCCCTATGGATGGGACCCAGGAGCTGGAGAACACGTCAGGGAATGGGGTGTGTCTTTGCCATGCTTGGGATGAGGCTTTTGAACTCCTGTTTGGATCCCACTGGGGCCATAGGGAATATGTGCTGAAGCTCCTTACACAGCAGGACTGCAGCTCCCTGCCAGTTTTCAGGCTGGGTGATGTTTTGGGGAAGTAGGTAACAGCAGTGACACAAATGGGTCCATCCAAGAAGCATCTGAAATCCTAGTTTTAAAATCAGATACAAGCAGTGGAATAAAGGGTGACATTCCAGCTAAATCGAAAGTCTTCTTTAGCTCGGTGAATTTTTCCAGAAGAAAAGTGGAAAGGCTGACCATGCTCTTTTTAGCTCCAGAAAGAGTAGACATTGCAAAATCCTCAGTGTTTGAGCAGCCAGGTACTTGCTGATTGTGGGTGTGAGAAACAACTTCAGTCCTGAAATAGCCAGAGCAAGGTGATTTTTTGGACATTTGGGCTTTTTACAGACACCCAGTGGCCCTTTGTCACAGTGACAAGTGAATAACTCTGTCCAGACCCAGAGGACTGGGGAAATCTTTCCATCCTGATTATGTGCCCCTCATCCTACAGGTTTTTATCCATTCTGATATGCCTCCCTCCTGCCAGGAATCTGATCCAATCCCTAAGTATCTATATTGCAGCTTGGAAAAAGGAGCCACAATCCCTTCAGGCAGGAATCCCTCTCCACAAGATCAGTATCTCAGATTCTTATCACTGAAAGCCTCTTGATCCTGCCTGTCCCTTCTCCTCCCCACTCTAAGGCCCCGATAATCATCTTAAAATGAGATTAACTTTAAGAGCTATCACCTGCAACACACATAACTCCCAACATTTGACATCAATGCAATGTTCTTGCTGATATTTTCAAATCAATCCACACAGAAGAAGAAAATTCTCACTATATATATACAGTTATGAGTTCTAAAGTAGTCAAAGAGTACTTGAAAAAAAAATCCTGGATCCTGGTTTCAGGTAAAGTCCTGCCCCAGCAACTTTTTGAGACACCTTCCAGTCCTGCTTTTCTGCAAAAGTGGTTTTTTCTCAGAATATATGACCAGAGCAGCATTTTAAAAGCAAAAAAAAAAAAAAAAAAAGATACAGATTAGCAGAATGCAAATTGAGAGCAAGACAGAAGGATATTGCTGTGATGAACAAAAATCCACACTGTACCCACAATTTTGGCTACTAGTTGTGGTCCTTCTGTGCTCAAGGGGATGCAGCACAGCTACAGGCTGGAAAAGGCCTTTAAGGTGAAGTAAAATCAGACTGTAATTATTGAAATAATAAAAGCAGGTAGGATCAAAGGTCATCCTTTAAACATATTCACCCCAGACACATTCACTGTGGTGAAAGCCCCTGGGTGTCTGTAAATGAAATAATCTAAATGTAAATGAAATAATCTAAATGCAGGTCCTTACACTGCAGGAGATGGGAGGACATTGCTTGGGGCCAAATAATTCCACACATTCTGCATTCCTTGAATCCTTTTGTAAAAAAAGTCCCGTCACAGAAGCTGCAGGAGGTGGCACCAGGATCCCTGGGCTGGCTTGGCATGGCTGGTCTAAGCTCTTAAATCACTGAGGTAGAGGAGAAAGCCAACAAGACTCCAACCCTTCTTTTTCTTCCTTTGAGAACACCAGGTATTTTTCTGCTTCAGCTTCAAGCAGGGAAATGTTCCATTCAAGGAGTGAAATGTGAAAAATAACTGGTCTGGTTTATTCTGGGCTGTGACCGGGGAAGTGTTATCCCATTTCAAACTGCAACCTGAGGGATTAGACAGGCTAAGGAACTTCCTTCAAGTCAAAAAGTCTTGTTGTGACAGGAATTAAATCTCCCACATCACAAGCTTATGCCCTAAACCCGGCAATGTTTTTTAATGCTCATATTTCTGACTATTCAGAAATTCAGTTATCTCCTTTCAGCAGAGAGATCTGCTTAGAATTTGTTATTTCTGTCAACAAGTAACAGAGTTATTTCAGAGAAATCCACTAAACCAACACATTTTTGCAGGAGATCTATTTTCAGATACATCTGTGGAAGTTTCCCTTGCCTCCTGCAGCCGCCGTGCTGCTTTCTCAGCCCCAAGAACAGCGACAACCAGCACGTCCTCCTGCCCTGGCCCTGGAACCACCTTCCCGCTCTGTCCTCCCGGCTCTTACCGTGGCATCCTGCCCAGCATAGTGGCTGATAACTCTGCTGCCTCCAGGGTGCTGCTTGGAGAACCTGCTGGCATCGTAGACCTTCCTGTCGATGACCAGCCACTGTTCGCGGCCGTGCCCGCGGCCGTCGCGGCTCCGGATCTCCTCCCAGGTGAAGAGCTGCGGGAAAGGTGGAACGGGACACGTCCCCTTCTCGCTGGGGCCCGTCTGGGGAGCCATCCCTGCTCCCAGAGCTGGGATGCACCGGGCTGAGGCTGGACCATCCCACCCTGCCCGTTATACAGCTCCCCGCAGGCCACTCCCTGGCGCTCCACGGGCTGGTTGGCTCTCCTTGCCCAAACACACCCTGCCCAAGCTCCCTGCCCTTCCAGACGCTCTGACACACCCCTAAATAAAAGCCCTGCTGCTTCTTGCGCTTTCTGAGCTGCCTTTAGAAGGTCTGGTTGCTCTGGGCTGCTCCGCTGAATGCAAACAGGAATAAACAGACAAAATCAGGATTATCTGTTATCTCTGAATGGTCTCATCGCTGCCCAAAACTTTCAGGTCGTCCTTCATCTTTGAAATTTTCTGTGTTGACCCTGGCATGGTAAATTCATGTGTCTTTCTTAACTAAAAGAGTCAAAATGATATCAAATCAGAGTAAAGATGGTAAAGATTCAGAGTAAAGAAAGAACACAATTAGGAAAATATCCTTAAATTCCAGTTAGTTTGGCTTGTTCATTGTATACTTTGCATAGAGCTGTGAAAACAGAATTTCCTGTATATTCTTGCATCATTCAATTGTTCAAGTAATTAATTTAGGAGTCTGTAACATTAGAATATCTTGGAATTAAGAGTAATAATAAGAATAATAACAATAATAACTGTCAGCACTAAGTTTGGCTGTAGATTCAGGGTTCCCAAAGCTATGCTTAAAAGCAACGTTGACAGAATTAACCTTACTTAAACATTACTCCTGAAGAGACAAAATCTAAACATCTCTGATGCTGAGAAGATCTGCTGTGCAGTGCAGAGGTGAAGAGTTCTCAGCTGGAACAGAGAGCAGAGAGAAGAAGGCAGTGCCAAGCTTCCTATGAACACACAGCAATTCTGCCCACGACCCAGCAGAAACTAAGCCCACATAAAGGAAATACTGCCCTACTTGAGATTTAGGATTCTTTTAATCCTGGCTGGATTTTTTTTTAATCCAAAATTATGAGCCCTGAGTGCTTTTGAGGAAGGTACAAGCAGCAGGCAGATATGGTACAGTCTGTTCCCAGTGACAAATATGAAGTCTTGGTTTTAATAACATTAATTTTGGGAATTAATACCAACCCAAAAGCAGTTGGATAGAGAGAGCTGCAGTCCCACAGAGCAGACACCTGCCTTGCCCTTGGCCCTGCGTGGAGTGGGCAGTTTTCTGGCTGCCACAGAGCCTGAAATGATGCAATTCTAATTCTTTAAATCATGTATCCTCTTGCAAATTAATCAGTCAAGCCTAAAACAGCCGTTCAGAAGTTCCTGACGTGTGGCAATGGTTGAGCCACCCCAGGTAAAAGAGAAGTGGGACTGTTGGTATTCATCAGAAGACAGTGACAAAGGAATGGGAGGAATAATTTCCACTCTGCTGTCACTCTGCATTTTGTAACTCTTTATCTTGCTCTAAATAAAAGTTGAGAGTGTCCACGCTAATGATGTGTTCATGTCCTGTGTATATGTGTGGAGTCTCACCTAAATCACGTTCAGCACTCGAGGTGCTGGGAGTAAAATATGCAACAGTTTGCGCAATTTTCCACATATGTGGGTTTTTTAGACGCAAAAATATCAAATTACTGCACAGCTGGCTGAAAGTACAAAATACCCCCTTCCCATGGCCCTGGATTCAGGCTTGTAAATGGAGCAGCTACCTGAAAAGGAGGAGATAAAAATGAGGTGTTTGATTTTGGTCCCAGAGCCAGGTGTGAACAAATATGGGATGTCTCTGTCTATGCAGTCAGCTGGGATTTCACTGTTAATACACACTGTGGGTGCCAGTACCCACCACACTGCTGCTAATTAGATGAATTAAATTTGGAACTCTAAGGTAATTGTCCTCTGTATTAACAGTGTGCATAATATTTAATGCCTGAGTTTATTTCACATCAGCTCCCATCCAGAGGGTCTTGCAATGCCCACTGATACTCCATCACATTAAAACCCCTCCCAGTCTGAGAGCAGAAGCTCTTTCTACGTTATCCAGGTCACCAAACAGATGTCAGAGTTCCATGGAAAAGCCCAGAGAGTGAAAGCCACAGCCATGCTTATCCAGAGAAACTATTGGGAAATCTGACAAAGTGAATTTACACCACACAGTCTTCTGCAACAGCTGCCCACACACCTGCCAAAAGCCATGTGGTGTGCTCCTGGGAGCTGGCACACGTGCTCAGAGCCGTTCCCTTGTGACTGAGAAACTCCCTGCACAGGGACCTGACATAATTTCCCAGATTTTCAGAAAGACAGAATGTGACTCCTCAGCTGGGAGTGAGTCGTTGCATCAACACTTTTATCCCCCATAAATGTTTGCAGCTTAATCCACTGGAGATATGTGGTCCAGAAATTAATCTAGCACTGAGATACCCCAAAAAACATCTTGGAAGTAGTTCTGTGATTCTGTGAAGTGGTTGGACGTCATGATCTTAGAGGTCTTTTCCAGCTTTAATAACTCTATGATTCCATTTCTAAGAAAATCTCCTTTTCCTTTAAGCTCTGAGGAATTTTGTCCTGTAGGGTGCCATTTTTTTTTACAGGATTTTTTTGACAACCTTTTCTACAGAAACAAAGTATTTAATGGGGCCTGTCACACGTGCTGTGACAGCACCTACCAAGTGAGGCTCCTGGGCAAGGCTGGATGGACAGCACCTACTTTACAAGCTGTACAGTCTGCCCAGAGCTGTTTGACATGAGACAGACATTTACAGCTTGTAATGGCCCCAGAGTTAGATGTCAACAGTGGAGAGAGCTGGAAAAGCAGGACCTTGCTCTGCAGCCACAGAACAGCATCAGGCTACATTTGGAAAGATCTCCTCAGTCTTTTCAAGAGCCAAAAACTTTTGCATCTGGTACAATTTTGTTTTGGAAAGAAAAAAAAAGATAAATCCAGTAATTGCTTGATGCGAACATTAAAAGACACCATATAAGTCAGGAGGAGAAAAAGATCAGGTTTTCTTTTTTTTTTTAGCATATTCTGCACTAAGAGACACAACCCTGCATCTCAGGTGGGGTTACTTATCAGGAACACATGTAATTTCAGAGATGGGAAGAGAAACCAAGGAGGTTTTTACAGACAGAGTCATGTTTGCAATGGAAACCTTCTCTTCCCTGCCAAGGGGTTTAATTTGCTTAGATATTCAAAGTCTTTCAGTAGTAAGTTAACACATGGGTTTTTTCCTCTATGAATTCAATCTTTATATCCTTTGCAAAAGAGAAAAAAAACACCTGTGAAATACCGTGGTTTCCCTTCCAGTTTTGGGTGACATTTTATGGCTGAACAATAAAAACCCCAAATGAGTGCCTTGTTAATTATAATGAGGTCTAAAGCTAGGTTCTGTAATTAGCCTTCTCGCCCAAAACTCCCCACAGAACAATAAATTGCATTAAGACACGTATTATATATATTTTTTTTGTACTTCTGAGGAAGTTCCTAAAGCCCCTACCCAGGAGATGCTGCAATGCTGCACAATGATGCTGTAAAACCTGACAGGATTTGCTATTGCAATTCTGATGGGACCTTCTCTCACACACACCAGCTGTAATTTCACACCCCAAACTCTTTTCAAACAGGGGTGATATCAATCTCTTCATCAATCACCACCTACTTCTGAGGTTTCTGTAGCTTATTTAACCTGAAATTTCAGTGAAATATGAAATATACCCTTTGCATCAATCAAATTCATGGAAGCCAGAACTCCATGGGCTCTTCTATACCTTTAAGACCTAAATTCAGCTGATCTAAAATGGTATATTCTGAATTTAACAGCTGATGAAAAGGCCTTCTCTCAAGTGCACAGGTAGCATGATATATTATTAAAGAGGTAAAATAAGACACAGCATAATTCAAGATCAAATTGTTAAATGTCTGTAACAAATCCATTTTGTTTTCCCACTGTTGTACATTTGGGTGGCATTTTTATAGCTTCTTTAGCATTTATATTTTATAACATTTTCTGTGCTCAGTGCAGAGCTCCCACTACTTGCAGACACACTTTTGAATATTCTGCTCATCCACAGAAGGAAAAACCCCCCAAAAGGTGACACTGCTTGAAAGTTTGTTTTAATTCTTGGCTTGTGCAACACTAATTAGGAACAAAATGGCATAAGCAAGGATTAAGACACCTCCAGCTGTTCCCCAGCCTACACACAGAGCACCTTCCTTTGTCTGTCCTTCCTGTGGGTCCTGGGCCACCTTCCAGCCTCTGCAATCTGTGCAGCAGGGATCCTGCAGCAACCTGCCTGCTGTTCTGTTTGACCAGAACACAGCTCCCTGGCCTTCCCCACCTGCCCCTGTCCTTCCTCAGACACATGCTGTGCTGGATATTCCATGCATTTTGGCTCTGAGGTGTCCATCATCCTTAAACTTCTGCATCTTACCCTGCCCACAAGGACATCAGTCATATTTTTCCTCTACATGGCTGAAGAGGTTTTTGCCACTTAAATTTTAATTCCTTGTGAAATTTAATTTTTCTTTGACACTTTTGCAATGCCTACTTGCAGTTCCACGACCTTTTCACTGCTCTTTATATCCCCAGCCTGCCTTGCAGATTGTTCCTCATCAATCCAAAATGCTCCTGTGAGTTTGTTTCTCCCCTCCTTGCTAGGGATGCAAGTCCCATAAATTTTGTACACTCCTTATATAGAGTTTATATAACAATCCTCACGTGGCATCACAGGCCCTCAGCTTCATTTCGAGGGACAAAAGATATTCCAGAGCTGTACATGAATGTCTGGTTGATAAAGAAAAATACTCAAGCACCAGGCAAGCACCTCCAAGGCCTGTCAGCATCCTTGTAACTCTCCAGCTTGGAGCAAGTACATGGAAGTCACACCCCATTCCTGTCCTCTTAGATCCTGGGAAGAAATGAGGGTGGGCAGGCCCTGGCACAGGTTGCCCAGAGGAGCTGTGGCTGCCCCAGCCCTGGAAGTGGGCAAGACTCCAAAGTACTTGGAGCAACCCAGTCTTGTGGAAGGTGTTGTGAAAAAGATGA